GTGTTGCTGTGAACATTCTTGCACATGTTACTTAGTGCACATTTGTACACATTCTTCTAAGGCCTGAACCTAGAAGCAGTGCTAAGTCGTAGGGGATGTGTATTTGCAGTGCCACCAGATCATGTCACACCGTTTTCTTTTTTCCTCCTTCCTCTCTTCTTTCCTTCCTTTATTGAAGTGGTGTCACACTGATTTCTAAAATGGTTTACTAGTAAACCCTCCCATTGATAATATGTATATGAAAGTTTGTTGAATCACATACTCACCAACACTCAGTGTTATGAAACTTTCATCTATTCTGGTGGGTGTAAGCTGCTATATTATTGTGGTTTTAATTTGCATATCCCTGATTAAAAATGAAATTTAGTACAGTTCCATGCAATTACTAGAAATGAAATTCCTTTTTTGTGATGTGCCATTTCAGTTCTCCCATTTTGTGGGAAGTATAGTGTTTACTTAACAAATAGGCTGGAGGCAGGTGCCCTCATGGTGGGAGTGATTTACCAGTGTCACTATGGCCTCACATAATTTTTACTCCCTCTGCACTGTAATGCTTAGCATGTTGAATTTGTATCCTCAGTCTTGTAAGCTCACAATTGCAAGGTGGGTGCAAAGCCTCCACATTAAAAGGCTGCAAGTGGGGAGCAGAAAGTCTCCCTGCCAGGCTCTAACCTTTTTAATCCAGGAAGCAGAATCCTCCCCAGCAACTTCCTAGCTGGCTTTTCCTCACATCTCAACACCAAGAGGCCAATTCTAACTCAAGGATGGGAAGAAAGAGGGATGGCTAAGAAAGTGGGTGTAGGGGACGGGTGTACCATGACTAGCCTAAACACCAGTTATGATCCATCTTTGAGGGCTGGGCAATTTGCTACTTCAGACAAAGTTGATACTGTTAGCAAGGATGGTAGTGGGCATAGGCAACCAGCAATATCTGAACAAATTTTTTGTTTAGATGTAAAGAGAATATTTTCAATTTTTGGATATATGTGGACTGAATTATTATATTTTGATCTTGATTCCTTCTGTTCTTGTCTTTCTGACAATCTCAGCGATGTGTTCTGTGGGTTTTTACTCTGTACCAATCTTACTCGAGCTCCACGTATTGGTCAACTTCAGGGTGAGATCATCCCAACTTCCTTCTACCATCAAGGCCGAGTAATTGACTGCAGGTAACATATTAAATGTTTTAAAACCTAATGAATCATGAAAATTACATAATGTAGAAAAAATTTCCTGTTTCTCACAATGGAAATGTTGACTTCAGTTTTATTATCACCTTCCATGGTGAAAATCATTTGGAAAACCAAGTTGTATATTGATTTGCAAATTACACTTGCTTAAAAATTATACAGTTATTGGTAGTGAGACATTCTTTGTAATTATAATCTTAAGAGTAATATTATGGCATCCATTCTGACACATGGTTAAAGCTTTGAGCATTGGAATAGATCTGTTTGTGAACACTGTGTTTTATTTTTCTATAACAAAAAAGAGTATGCTGTACTTCATTTAGTATGTGTCTGGTTTAGAAGATGGTTTAATAAATTCAAAATTACATGTAGAAAGTATTTATTAAAATATTATTTGTAGCTGTAGGCAAATATTTGCTATCCAATTATCTGTGAGTATAAGGCACAGAAAGTATGAGCCTTAATTTTTAAGCTAGGGGGTCATACTGTATTTCAGATAAGTCATGATTCTAAGAAGCTATGCTCTCATTCAAATGGTACTGTTGCCTGAGACACTTTAAGGTGGAATCCCTGTGGAATTGCCTTCAGCATCTGCAAACTTTTATCCTTAGTATGCCCAGAGCAGCAGACCTCCATCTTATGTGAGTCAATGAAAGGTTTGGAAACATCCAAAAATAATTTTGAACAAAATTTAGCAAATTGATTGGGTAAACAAATTATATAATGCTGTCATGGTCAAATGATTGCTGCTTTAGTGTCTTTTAAATTGCTCTGAAGGCAATTCTAACAGGGTCTTAGACAATACGATCCTTCTTGGAATAAATGTATACTTTTCAGATCTAGTTATTTTGATGTATACAAGCTTCCTTTGAATGTATAAGGTCTCACTCATCTTTAGATACAACAGCCTTTTAAAATTATATTGTTATATATTTAAAACAGTAGTTTAGATTTGTAAAATATTATGCAAGATGCTTTATTAGTAATTATAGCATTAGCTGTTATTCAAATTCATGTCCCTAAATTTGAGATTTTTGAAGTAAACATCAATAGAGAGGAACTGGTTTATTTTTTTTCAATCATGAGTAATCCTGTCCTCTAAACTAGTAATAACAATTTTCAAAATATTTTCATTTACTGTTTTTGCTCACCATCAACTCTTTTGTATCATGACATACCTGAAAGCCTTGGAGAGCTAATGATAAGATTGTTTCTCTTGTTCTTATAAAAACACCTTTTCTATAGTCTTTTTGTTGGTCTTGTAAACAAGTGAAGATTTAGAATACACTGTGTGCAAATGACATTTTTTTTCTGTCAATGTGCAGTACAAGAATGATGATGAAAGATAGTTTCTTTTACATGCTCTTTTATTAAAAGGAGTTGGGGAAAAGAGTTAAGGGGAGAAATGCTAAAGAAATCCATGTCCACTGATAGCTTCTTCAGTTTCATGAAGAGCAAGCATTGTTCACATTGACACATTTCTAAGTGTGGTGCTAATGGTTGTATAAATATCTTTCTCCTTTTAGTGGTGCTCATGTGGTTTTAGATGATGATACGGATGTAGGCTATGTGGAAGATGGGACACCATGTGGCCCATCCATGATGTGTTTAGATCGGAAGTGCCTACAGATTCAAGCCCTAAATATGAGCAGCTGCCCACTTGATTCCAAGGGGAAAGTCTGTTCCGGTCACGGGGTAAGTAATCGCCTTGATTCCAGTTTGAACCTTTGTTGTCTTGGCATCCTGCAAGTTCATGGTGGTTGCTTCCATTTCAGCCATTCTCCTCCTGTAGCTGTTGCCAATATCTATGCACTATGTTTACTTCCTCAGTATCCTTATGTACTGAGAATAACACCTGTATGTGTTGATAATGGTTTTATTTTTGTTGTTTCTTTTACCACTGGCTGTGTGTATTCACTACATTGTTTTAACTTAACATCTAAGTGATTGGAAGAAAATTGACAGGATTCTTAAGGTAACTGTATACCCATACCCATATGATTACTTTGTACCATTCAAAATAACTTAAGTCATCTCAGTATTTCCTTTTCAGCCACTCAATACATATACTAGATATACTGAGTATCCAGTAGAGTCAGAATTATCCAGTATAGAGCAAGATGATGCTAGACTAGAGGTTGGACCACAAATACAATTCATATGTTTAAAATTGTACATTTATGCTTAGACTGTTGCCAACCAAAGAGAAGATGCTGTCTCTACTCACACCTGCATGTATGTTTAATTCTAGGAACAAAGTGTTTGGGCACAGACTTCCCAGAAAACCTAGGCTTAATATCTTAAAATAAGTTTTAAAATTATTTAAATTATGCTTCATAAAAGAAAGATATTTCAAAATTTATACAGACTTCAGAAATAGAAAAGAAGAGACATGAAGAGACTGAGAGTGATAATAAAAAAGGAAGATGCCAGAATGAGAGTAAAAATAATCCAAAATATTGACATCTGGAAGGTGATATGAGTAGAACAAGGTCGAAAGGCCTGAGAAGCATATGCCCAATGACTAGAGTTTCAGATTTGGTTCATTCATAGGCTCACAGGGGAGGCAGTGTAGCTTAGTGATTTAAAACATGTATTTAGGGGCTAGAAAGCACCCTGGGTTGGAACTGAGGCTCTGCTTCTTGCTATCCCAGTGACTTCGGGCAAGTCACTTAACTTCTCTCAGCCACCAGGGTGCTGGTTTGAGGATGGAATGAGATGCTGTACATAAAGCGCTCAGCATAGATACATAGCACATAGTAAATGTTCACTAATTACTATGTTAAAATCAAAGTGTGGGGCAGATCTTCTGGTTATGTCAGTTACTGCTCTGAAAGCATTGTAAAACTTAATGCATGAGAGGGCCCTGAATTCTCTCCTACCCTACCCACTTCTTCATCTTACTAAGAAAAGGTCGAATTCAGCCTTGTTTGTCTTAATCATGGTATGATAACAATTCAGATTTCAGAGGTTCTTATACCAATAAGCCTAAATTGGATTTTGTCATCTCGAATAATCTGTCTCTGAATGTATTTCACAGGCTGATAAGGGTTTAAATGCCTCTATCTCTAGTTTGCAGATGTTTGTTTATTTCATCTAAGTTGTAAGTCCAGCGTGCCGCTTGGTCTTCAGGGAAGTGAGGGGCAACAGAGAGCACTGTGGGAGTGTTTTCAGCCTGGCTGACTGAAGAAGAGTGACACCAGCAGCAGGCAGAGACAGTGGGAGGGGTGCTTGCTGGGCTGGGAAAATGCTACCAAATGAATTTGGCATTGGACGTGGTGAGGTAACGCAGTGCAGTGGTGATTTATGTCGCCTGCTTTATCTCTGGCAGTGCCTCGGGAGCCCAGCATCTATGAATTTCTTGAATTAAGCATACATGTTTCCCAAGTATGTTCCTGAAAGAACTACTTCTGAAAAAAATACATTGTCAGACATTTGTGTACTTAAATAACACATGAATAATTAATTTAAAATTTTCTTCCTTTTAATCTTTTTTCTATAATTAACTGAAAAATGCCATTCCACAATTTCATCTATACATTGTCTCCCATTGTCAAGTTCTCAAACCTGTGGGAGGCTTAACGAAAATTCCAAATGGCTTTTAAAGCTTCTGCCCTGCCCTGTGTTTCTTTTCCATTTATCACTGTCATTGAACAAATCACAGTGGAAATGTCCCATCTCTGTTTTTGGTTCTTCACAGGTGTGTAGCAACGAAGCTACCTGTATCTGTGATTTCACCTGGGCAGGGACCGACTGCAGTATCCGGGATCCTGTTAGGAACCTTCACCCACCCAAGGATGAAGGACCCAAGGGTTTGTGTGATTTCAGTTCCAGTTCATTGCCTACTGAGTTCACTGGTGCTCTTCCAATACTGCCAATATAACAACTAAATAGATTTGAAAGGAGACATGTAAGAATATCTCTTTTTGCCATTAAAATGTACAATTTCTGTTACTGCAGAATTAAGGATTCTAGTATGTCATATTGAAAAAAAAATGTCCGAATTACCCCTCAGTCTAGAACTGAGATTAGGAAGAAATAAATACACCAATTTCTCTTTTTCAGTTTCCTTTCTTCCCTTTAAACCTCCTCCTTTTTCTAGAATCACATAGGTTAACTATTTTATAGTTTGTCTATGCTATGCTGGTTTTCCAACAGATAACATCTTTCTGGCTGACGTGAGACTGGTCATTCCTCAATGCTTGAATCCCCCTAGAGGCAGGTGGCAGTCTTCAATGCTCGGTTTAAACGCACTTCTGATTAGGAAGAGGTTGAAATTCTTCACAGAACTTTAATTCTTCAAATAAAACACGCGGGAAATGGGTCTTTATTTTCATCAGCCATTAAAAGGAGAGACATTAGAATTTTAGAATTAGGAGGAGTTGCAGTGGCCATCTAGAACCACTGTTGTTTTGCAGATGAGAGCACCTCAGTCCTGAAATCAGGTGACAAACTGGAGTCACCCAAGTAACCAGAGGCAGGGTGGGGACCAGGATCCAAGTACTGAATTCCAGGCCCATTCTCTGTGCCAGTATTCTGTGTCATCATGAATATGGTAATCACTGCTTATGATTCTTCCCTTTCCCAACCTCTTATATGATTTTCAAAGATCTAGAAAAGCCTTCAGCTGCAATAGGCTTCCTGCAGCATCCGTAGCATTATACCCAAGAAACCGAGGAATTACTATAACGAATGGTGTATCCTGATAACATTGTACATTAGGTTCTTCTTTTTCATGGTACTGCTAATGGTATTTTATAAATAATTATCGTGCTTTTTTCCTGCAAGTAGGAACAATACGTACAGATATATGTGGTGTTATTTAGATCTGCCTAGTTTTGAATGAAAGCTTGTTCAAACTCTCTGAACTTTAGTATTGCCTATATGGGAAAATATGACTTCGAAAGCATATGAAGCTCCATAGTCTTCAATTCCTGAAGAGATTTAGTCTAATTTGGGTGCATGTGTAATGTTAGTAATAGTGGGTGTGTTGAAACACTTTTCATGCATGTGCTTAATATGCCCATGATATTAAAATTCTGTAAGAATTATAGTCACACCCTCACTATCTATTTCTGTTCCTCTCCTATATCTAAAAAGGAACCAATTCCACTTTTACATTTCAGTCTTTAGTTACTTTAAAACTAGAACAAATTCTTGGATCCACCTTTGAAATTTAGATTTAGAGAAGATTTAGGCTCCGACAAGAGAGGCAGCGGTTCATTCGTTCCAAATTTTCTCTCCATAGCATGTCTATGATTCCCTTAAAGATCTAGATGCTGTTTCCTCACGTGATGTATGAACATGCCCAAATAGTTGAGCAGGGCTAAACTGGCTTAGACTCTAACCTTTTTCATTAGGTAGGGTGGGGATTACTTGTCTCATTCTATCTACTCCCCATCCCTTCACCTACCCATGTGAGGCAGAAAGTAAACAACTGCATTCTAGAGAAGATGTTCCCAGCTGCCCTTTGCTTTATTTTGCTTTCTCCCCATTTAATATGGTGCTATTTTACATTACCTTTTTTAAAAAAACCTTTTTGATCACTCAAGTAATACATGTTTATTGTAGAGAATTTTGAAAATAGAGGAAACATTAAAATGGAAATAAAAATCACCCTTAACCCCACAGCTCACAGTGGGGTTAAGGGTGATCGTCAATACCTGCCTTCTGGTATATTTCTTTCCTGTTACATGTTTTCTTTTTTTATTCTCAGTGAAGATACTGGAATTATTAGGGTTGCTTATTAGGAGTAATTAGGTAATAATGGAGTTACCCGTTGCTTCTAAAATTGTTAAAATCCTTATAATGATCTTGATTAAATTTAAAAAAGCCATTAATTGCTATAAATGGAGAAGAGATATTATTGTAAATTATTAGATTTTCAGAAAAGTCAAGCAATTTTCATATAACTAAATAATAGCTCTATTATGGTTCTTTATATCTTCTCAGCCTCTCTAGAAAAATCTGTTAATACACTAGTAAAATAGGAAACAAGAGAAATCAAAATTTTTTGATTAAAACCTTTTGATTAAAATTTTTTGTGGTAGGTTTTATGATTTTATTTTTTATATCCTGGTGAAAAGAAGATGGTAAGAGAGAAGCTATGTACTTTACTTCTAATTTTATCCAGGTAGCAAATACTTACTGTCTACTATTTAAAGACAGCACATCCTTGGCACATCGTTGGCATTCAGTAACTAGTATGTAAAGTTATGGGAATATGTAAAGGAAATGAAGTGGCACATGTTAGCACTGATTTTCAGTTTTCAGGAATCATTTATTGCACTACCTTGTTGCCGAGTAACAGGCAATGAACTCAGGATTTTGAGTACTCCGTCAGGACTTACTTGACTCTAGGTTAAGCGGGTGTGTAAGGTAGCACGGCCTTTCTCTGTAACTGCTTGCTGTGTATTCTTTCCCATGATTGAATTAGTTTAGTTGGCACTTGCCTTCCTGAGCGCAGTGTTCGGGCCCTCCCCAAATGCTTGCCATTTAGTGAGTAATACCCACAATGATCTGGCCTGTAGTATCAATAGCTGAAGATTTTTCTATATAGAGACAAGCAAGAAGGTATTAAGAAATACTTAGCTGTATTTACTTTCAGTAAGCTTCCTTGTTATGGAGAAAAAAATTCAAGCAGCATAAAGAAAATATTGCCTTTTCTACCATGAACATGAGCATTAAAAGATAAATTGTACCCAACTGTGGCCCTTTGGATCAAGATCAAATAAGTAAAAATGAAGGAGAGTTCTATGGCTTTTGTTTCAGTTGATTTCAGGATGTCAAAAATGAACCTATGTGCTTTGGGTATTTCTTTCATCTTAACTGTAACTTCCTGGAAGAAGAAAAACTCAAATTCTCCATTCTGATAGGGACGGAAAAAAAACACGCGTGAAAGTATTGCCATGGAGGTCACTCTGCTGTGGCTGAAGTTATTCACTGTTGACCCACACCTTAAAGCATACCTGTTTATTTGCTCCAACTTCTCAAATTTATTAAAAGACAAGAAAAAGAATCTCAAAGCAAAAACATGGGAGCAAGGATTTTTAAAAAAATATTTTTCTATTACATCCTTCTTCCTCCATTTGTTTTACATTGTCATTTATTTCACATGTGAAGACTCTTCTGGTCCCTCTTTCCCCCAACCATGTTTCTGCTGAACTCACTGACAGAAATTGTTGTGGTTTCTTTTACAAGGGTAGAATACCCTTGAACTCTGTTTAAAAGGCCTGAAATTCCCTCCCACTATAGGGAGAGTCATGTGAAGCACCTGTAGTTTTTGTCAGTCTGTGAGCATTTTTGCATGATGCTTATTATGGAATACAATGGACCTTTTTCTCTTTGAATGGTTTGTATCACTATTAGAGGAGGGAAAAGAAAAAACTGGAAAGCATCAAAAGTTTTTACTGATATGGAGGGCAGAGGCCATTCCCAGAAGGTTTGGGTCAGACTCTTTCAACATCAACATCATGTCCATAGTCATCAAGTCAAGATAGAAAGGCCTTAGGGGTAATTCAATCTGCTGCTTTACAACTGAGAAAACTAACTTAATTATCAGGGTTACCAACTAGTTAGAATAAAACATAAATCTCCCGATCTTAGTGCTTTATCTCCTGTCCCACACTGCCTCATTTAAAGCTGAGTATTAGGTTGTTCTGCTGGTCCTTTTAGCACAATATTAAGTAGAAAGGGTGAAATAATAACCAAGTAGGGATTAAGCCTATTGGCTAATCTACTACTTGTCAAAGGAAGTACTACATTATTAGCATTTCATATTTTGAAAGCAGTAATTTCTAAGTATTAAGACCTTGAGGAGTATTATTTAGCATTTACATTTACCTTTTTTTTTTTTACATTTACCTTTTGCATATATCTTGTTTCGTGACTTCCTTCATGAATGCACAAATCTTTGTAGTTCAAATGATTAGTTATGATATGTTAGAATTATCATATATGATTATGCTCAGGTGTAATTATGTATCACCAGGTACTTTTCTCAGTAATGGCCTCATCAATAACTTAAGGATTTACTAAGTTTAAAATTAAAATTTTTTCAGTAACTGTGAATTTATTTTGAAATCACAAAACTCCAAGATATTTTCACTGACATTCTAAACTGATTGAAATAATATTCTTACATGAAATAATTTTTTTCATCTTTTTAGACATTTGTCCCAATGTATCAAAAAATGAACTCAAATTTTTTTTTAATTTCATGGGAAAGAATGAGATCTGATTATATGTCAGACATTGAAATATGAAGCTAGTTAAAATAATGATTGCTATGCCAACATTATAGTCTAAAGTATAAAGAATATATTTAGTATTTATTTCTTATCTTATTTTTTTAATCTTAAATTTTAGCAAAATAATAAATCTCTGGAGAAAGAACTTTGGTCCATAGAGTACAAATGATGCTTCAGTGTTTCCTGCCTTTGAAGTGTTAAGGGATGCAGGATTGTAGCCCCTTTTGGCTCATTAGAATCACTTAGATGAAATACTGTATCTTTCTGTTTCAGAAACTCTTTCCAGGTAAGAAAAAAAACAACCACCACCACTCTGTTTCAAAAGCACGATTTCAAAATGTTTGAAGCTGACTTGTCTGTGGAAGGATTCTACATATAAAATAGAAATTCTTTTTTAAAAAGGGAGACAATTTATCATTTGTATCTGAATACATACTTATTAAAAATTTGACCTTTTAGCACATGTGACCCTAGATAGTAGGGACCAAGAATAAAAGTAATAATAATAAACCAACAACCAACAGACATTAACAAGAAAACAGAAATGAAAACATCCTGCTAGGTAATAAACAGGTTCCACAAACAAATTATATTGAGAGGTGATGTGTCCAAATACCTAGGGAGCAAAGTTAAGGTCCTAATGCGAGGTTTGTGTCATTAGCTAAAATCTGTGTGAGTTCCATCTTCAGGTTTGGTAGATTGAAAGGAAAGATAAGGTACATCATCATATGTCCAGCATAGTTCTGGCACACACAAAAAAGACATTTAGTTACTGAATGAATGAACAAATATAGTTTGTCATAAATAAGTAAATTAGGATGGAAGTAAAACTAGAGGATGTAGGCCCCAACGGTCCAAGGAATATTTTACTAATGAGATGCATATTTTACTAATGAGAAGCTGAAACCATAGTTTTCAAATATGTCCTCTGTAAAAAACCCACCCACCTGTGAGCCACTCCATTAATTCATGTCAGAGAAGAGGTTGAGTCACTCCCTACTGTTAAAAGTCCTGATAAAGAATTGAATGGATTTTGCATATATTTTCAGAATATCAGAAAGTTTCCTGCCTTTGAAGTGTTAAGGGATGCAGGATTGTAGCCCCTTTTGGCTCATTAGAATCACTTAGATGAAATACTGTATCTTTCTGTTTCAGAAACTCTTTCCAGGTAAGAAAAAAAACAACCACCACCACTCTGTTTCAAAAGCACGATTTCAAAATGTTTGAAGCTGACTTGTCTGTGGAAGGATTCTACATATAAAATAGAAATTCTTTTTTAAAAAGGGAGACAATTTATCATTTGTATCTGAATACATACTTATTAAAAATTTGACCTTTTAGCACATGTGACCCTAGATAGTAGGGACCAAGAATAAAAGTAATAATAATAAACCAACAACCAACAGACATTAACAAGAAAACAGAAATGAAAACATCCTGCTAGGTAATAAACAGGTTCCACAAACAAATTATATTGAGAGGTGATGTGTCCAAATACCTAGGGAGCAAAGTTAAGGTCCTAATGCGAGGTTTGTGTCATTAGCTAAAATCTGTGTGAGTTCCATCTTCAGGTTTGGTAGATTGAAAGGAAAGATAAGGTACATCATCATATGTCCAGCATAGTTCTGGCACACACAAAAAAGACATTTAGTTACTGAATGAATGAACAAATATAGTTTGTCATAAATAAGTAAATTAGGATGGAAGTAAAACTAGAGGATGTAGGCCCCAACGGTCCAAGGAATATTTTACTAATGAGATGCATATTTTACTAATGAGAAGCTGAAACCATAGTTTTCAAATATGTCCTCTGTAAAAAACCCACCCACCTGTGAGCCACTCCATTAATTCATGTCAGAGAAGAGGTTGAGTCACTCCCTACTGTTAAAAGTCCTGATAAAGAATTGAATGGATTTTGCATATATTTTCAGAATATCAGAATGAAAAGATGTGGGAGAAAGAAAATGAAGCTTTTGGAAAAGGCATTCCCCACCCCCCCCCACCCTTACTTTTATCTCACTTTGTAGTAAAAGAGTACTTACCAGTTAAGAATTTGGAGATAATTATTCTTGCTCAGCAGAGATTCCAGTGTATCTCTATTTGTCTTGAATACATACTTGAAGCAACTGTAGAAATATCTTGTGCCTCTGGTTGTGTTTCTACATGATAGGTTGCTAATTCTCCAGTGTCTGCAGTGAGAAATCACATCCATAGAAAATACAAAAAGCCTTTTCAAGTTGTTTTTTTTATGCATCCTTCAAACAATTATTATAGTTTTAAAAATTAGCAAATACTCATTTAGCACCACATTTTACAGGAGTGTGTGTGTTTTCCCTATAATTGAATATGGCTTATATAAAAACTGAGGAGATATTTCATGTATTCAGTTCTGAGTGCCAAAGTGTAGAACTTAAGGGAAAAATGATAACAGTATATCCTAGTTAATTTAGTATTCCGAAAGCAGTGATTTTCAAGGATCTTTAAAAAATGAGTATGGATGTGAAATACCTTTCATCCCAGTATTTGCCCCCACAGTTTGGAAATCTGAGCTATAGTTTAGGTTACTTTGAATTATAATGTACTGGCATATTTGGAAAACATTACCACTACCTTATATGTTGGTCTTTTTCCTTTCCCCTCAATGCTCTCTATAGACTTCCTCTGTTTTTTGTTATGTCCCCCATCCTTTTTTTGTTTAAGAACAAAACTAGGTTGTGCCTAGTTAATGATAGAACTAGAATCTCTTATTCATTATTTGTTCTATGATAAAATGAGGTAATTGTACAACTGCTTTCCAGGTTAGAGATCCAAAGTTCTCTCTCTTCTTTGGGAGAATGTTTACCTAATAAGGTCAATAAGCCCAGTATTAAACCTCAGAATATTATGGCTTTGAGTCATGGTGCTATGTTTCCTTTCATGTGGCTCATAGCACACAGTCTGTGTGAATCCTCTTTGTCAAAGTTAATCTCTTGTTTTTATTAGTAAAGTGGTTTGAAACCATTATGGTTCACGTAGAAAGGTGAGATAAAGTGCACGTAAGGCCACACAATTGCACGTGCACACACCAGCACAGTTTCAGCCTTAAGTAATCTTCCTCTCACATCAACACTAAATTTCGTCTTGCTGAGGCACAGAGAACCTTGGGGATCCCGACTCACTGTAGGCCCATTTTGCAGTGTATGAAAGCCTTACACACAAGCGATGATGTGCCAGGGTTGTGTCCACTTAGCATCTACCATGGGGTGGTCTGGAGCAATTAATAACAGTTTCCTGGACACCCTAACTTCCTTCTGTGAATACATTACACATTGGAAACTGTAAACAAAAACTAAATGTTCAAATGCTGCGATAGAAATCCGAACATTGCAGTGATTTGAAATACACTTTTCCAGGTAAAATACATTTATTTTCAAAGATACTCTGTTTTAAATTTGTAAAGATTTTCATAAAACTGAATGGTAAGAATTTCAAAAAGATGTAGCTTCTTAGGCATATTTTACAGTTTTAGAAGTTCATAAAAAGTAAACTAATGTTTATTACTTTTGTAATTAATATAGGTTTGCTGTGATGCAATTTAAATTTTGTGTTAATTTTCCCTCCTTGTAGGAACTATAACTCAAATTGGATTATTTTTATGTGTTTAATAGTATTTATGAGAGATTATATTTTTGCATAGGGTTTATAAAGTTTAAAGGTAAATTCAAAATTATCCTCAAATATTTTAATACATATGTCAACCTTATTTTCAATCTTTAAGCCAAGATCTCAATATTTAACTGAGTTTCAAAGCATTTCCTGAATAGAATATTTTGTATGTTAGTGAAATCAGTGTATAATTATCTTCTTTTGTTAAAAAAGGAAATCTCCGTTTTCCCTCCACACAGTGAACATGGCCACAAGCAGGCTAATAGGTGCCGTGGCAGGCACCATTCTGGCCTTGGGGGTGATTTTTGGAGGCACGGGGTGGGGAATAGAGTAAGCATCTTTATGAGTTTCCAAGTGTTTCTGTTTGGGTCCTGGTGTGTGAGCTGACCCTTGGTACCCCCACCCTCTCATGTTGTCTCGTTGATGTGTTTGTTCCCTTTGCAACTTGCTGTGTGATGTGACTTGGACGTTTTTGTGTCATGTGGTTTTCTGTGCAGTGGAGAACCTTCTCCTGTCTGGAACAATGTGGGGCATAACAGAATACTGGGGTGCCTAGCCTGCCTTCACAATTAAGGCAATGGTCCAGAAGCTTCCATTGCTCTTCCACTTGTGAAAGTAATTTTAAGATACAGAGTCTTTTTCTTTTTTTTTACTGTTAATTGGCAAAAAAAAAAAAATGTTTTTCTATGAGTGTTATTAAGATTCTTTTAATGAATTTAGTCTTTACCAAATAGATCCACATAGACAACTAGGAAATTATCAATAGTTGTAGCTCCTTTTTGAGATAATTTGAGTGATAGCCACTAATATTTTCCCCATTTATTGAGAATAATATAGGAGGCTTTGGCTTAATTTTTTTTTTAAAGATTTTTTGGATACTTCATTTTTTTCTTATAAAATAGGGAGAAAATTCAAATTAGAAGTTTACCTAAATATTTGGGAACAAGGAGCATAGGAATGAAAATATATTTAATACAAACCTGCAAAGTTTTAAGTGAATAGTTGCAAATTATCTGGTGGGTTTGTCTTAAAAATAGCCAGTGTATAATATAAATAAATAGTGCTGAGCTCTCAGAAATACAGCTCTCCTGGTGCCTTGTTTAGGGTGCTCTGTACTTGATCCAAATTCTCAGAATAGCTGTCAGTTCTCCTTGAGATATGCTTTCACGAGATTGCTAATCTCTAGACTAAGATTATCATGCTTGTTTTCCTTCTGTCTAAGGACAAGGAGAGCATTTACAAATGACTGAAATATTCTTTCACATGCAGGAAAAGCTCACAGTGGTGGTGGTAACACTTCACAGTGGCCCAGGAAAGAATTACTGGTATTTTAGGGAATTATCAGATAGGTGCCCTCTGCCCAACCAGCCCAAACCACAGGCTTGCTGGTAACATCACACATACTCTTCCTTAGTTCTGTTAGTTGCAGCGCACAAATGTTCTTCTTACCTACTGGGACTGGGAGGCAAAGGCACCAACATAGCATGAAGGGGAAAGCAGGTCCCTAAGTCACACTTTATGTTGAATGTTACTAAACCTTCTTATGAAAAGTCTTGAAGGACTTTGACCAGAGTTCGATGGTCCAACTCACATCCCATCAGCATGGACTAGAAGCTGGTTAACCCAGGGAAAGCTACAAGTACTGAAAAAAGATACTGTTTCCCCTTATGTGTTAGAAAATAAAGCATGTAGCAGAAGTAAAATATTTAGAGAAAACAAGAACTTCATCCTGTAAAATTTCACCTTGGATCTGTTCACTGGATATTATACAAGAGTAATATCCCTTTTCCAGGGGAAATTTTATATATACATTTATGTGAAATTATCCTTGAAGGAAGGAAGTTTTCTACAAATTATCCCAATTTTTAAAATGTATTTTTTGACCATCACTGTGGTGTGCTACAAGGTAGTCACTGAAGGGATACATTCTAATACTTTTCCCTCTGAGTCTTAGATATAGGCAAACCCAAGCAAGGCCTTTGTTGTAAACCACAGTCCTTGTTATCAGCCTTTGTTTTCATCCATCCCTTCTAGTGCTTGTGGAGTTTGTGGCTATTTCTGATTGTGACAGGTAAGTCTTTGTAAGTGTATATATGTTTTTTTCTAAAAATAGGTTTGTTATTTATTATTCTTGGTTTATGCACTGTTTTTGTCTGTTAGTTTACTGATTTTTTTCCTTCAAATTCTAAATTTGGCCATAATTGACCAAAACATAAATATCGTTTTTAAAAAATGAAATCCATATAGTACAATATAGATTGTTTTAAAACTTCCTCTCTTAAAACTGAGAGTGTAATGTTCATTTGGTCACTAGAGAATTCCATGGACAGAGATTTCTCTCTCTCTTTTTTTTTGTTTGGCTTTTATTTCTACTCCGTAGTTTATAATTGTAAATCAGGAATCATTTCTCATGGACTCTAATGCCAACCCCTGTTTTATGAGCTAGTTAAGTGCAAATCATATCTAAGGCATTGAATATCTATGTGACACTATAAATATTTTTAAATGTTTGTTTTAAAGTTTGATTCCCTATTTAAATGTGGGGAGGAAGTACATATAAATGGAATAATGTTTCATTAAAGGAGAAGTTAACAAACTTTCTGCAAAGGGCCAGATGGTAAATAGTTTTGACTTTGCAGGCCACAGTGGGTCTGTCACAAGCTTGCAACTCTGCTGTCTTAGCATGAAAACATCTGTAAACAATATGTAAATGAATGAGGGTAGATGCGTCCGACATAAAATTTGCAAAAACAGACAGCAGGGCCAGGTTTGGCTGTAGTTTGCTAACCTTTGATTTATAGCATAAGCTTTTGAGGCAGACAAGTCTGTGTTCAAATGTTGCCTCCACCACTTACTAAATTCTAGAAGCTTTGTTTCTTCACCTGTCAAGTGGATAGTCATAATTCCTACCTCATAGGGTTTTGGTGATGCTCATATAATATTAACCATGTGCTTAGAACTATAACCGGCACATAGTGAGAACTCAATACATAGAAATAACCTGCTTTTATTCCTGTATTATTGGTGTATCTCTAAAAGCCACTGAGATTTGTGTTCTGTAGAACCCCAGTGGTTGGCCTTAAGAATGTGTCACCTGCCCAGGAGCCTGAAGAGACCACATCAGCAAGAATCCTGTTGGGGCTGTCAACCTTTCCACTCATGCCTACAAGCACTGGTGGTCTCTGAGTTAAACATATGACACACTGTTTTAGTGTTGCTAACAGTGGAATCCATTTATTTACACAGTTGAGGGCACTGATGTGAGCAGAAAAGAGAATTTTTTACACAGAAATGAATGTATACACTAACTTGAGGATTTTAGGGGAACTACCCACATTGGCCTGTGATCTCTGGAACAGGGATATATAGTTAGCACTGGAAGGATTTTGCTGTTAGGGTCACTTTACCTGCATATTTAAAGTAATTGTTGTACTAAAGTTAATGCTGCTTATGTTTAAAAATAGTGAGCTAAGGTGAGTTCCACGTGAGTGGAGAGGATGTTCTGTAATATGTATCAACTCTGACTCAAACCATTATTAGAAACTCTACTTTGTATTTTCTTTCTTGCTGTTCTTCCTGCTCCCTTCTTTTTTATATCTCCAAGCCTCAAATTTCAAATGGGAACTTGAAATAGAGTTTCAGTCGAACCTAAGGAATCTCTTTTTCCATTTCCCCAAAATTACCCAAATGAGTTGGATTCTTCCTTTATATTTTGGCCTCTGAAACCCCATGTTGCTGTTTAAACCCTGGATAGTGAAGAAACGTATCTTTGCGAATAGGGCTTCAAAGTCAGATCTTTATTGGTAACCGCCTTCTGACTTGTAAGTTTTTTTACTGTCTGTAAGTGCGGGGATAAAAAGTCTAGCATTCAGATAACTTCATGTACTATTGACAGAGCCCTGGAATAGACTCTTTTTCCTTCTTTCTATGCCTCTTTTGCCAGTCGCATTGAGCTAATTCTAATGCAGTCATGTTCTTAATGTGCTCGTGTACCTGTTTAATTCATTATACTGGGAAAGAGGAAGAGAAGAAAGGCAGGCAATGACAGCAATTGGGGCATATTTGTTTCAGATTCTGCAAAAGGTACATTTAGTGGAACCTGCTTGTCAGTGATGCAGAAGCTTTAGGTCTAAGGCATTCAAATCCAAGCAGTAGCTATCCATAGCACTGAAAGGGCAATTAAGCTAAATAAATAAAGGCAACTTAAGTGTTTCACAATTTTTTATGCAGGGTATTTACTTCCTGGAACCACTTAACTGCCTTTCCCCCCTTGTGATAATGAAAGTGGTCGGCTCATACAACTTTCTTCCCATGATCCTTTGTCACAGGTCCTAGTGCCACCAATCTCATAATAGGCTCCATCGCTGGTGCCATCCTGGTAGCGGCTATTGTCCTTGGGGGCACAGGATGGGGATTTAAGTAAGCAACGCCGCATGTCTTCTTCTCAGTGGCTCTGGCTTTTCTCTTTTCTGCTTACATAAGCAAGTTCTGAGTTCCTGCTACAAGGTTTCACCTTTTAAGGGTAAAAATGCTAAAAATAAATATTTTTATTCAGAAAATGGGTCAGAAAAGAAGAAGCACGTAACCTCAAATGCCATCTTCAGGCAAGTGGAAAACATGAGATGTAGAAGGAATTCACATGCACTAGTCTAAGGAGAACAGAGTTGAAGTTCTTTAACAGAAGACATGGCAGCTCTTAGCAAGCATTCTGAGATACATTTACTTGTATACAATAATCGAGGGAATTATGTAGTTGGAATATGTAGCTAGAAATTCCCTGTATCTGTTTCAAACTGGTTTATATTATGTTAACATTTTGAAATTTTCACAACCTAAGTAACCATGTGTTCATTATTTTTCACATATATAGCTTGTGATTTAAAAAGCTTCATTATATGTAAAAAAAATGTTGTTAATATTTTCTAATTAACTGCTAATATCAACCTGGTGTGTTTTCCTTGTGACCTTTTAGTCTGGATTATACACTGATCACTAAATTTGTTTAAGTGGACACACCAGATAATCACAAATAAACGTTAATTAAATAAAAATTTTTTAAAACTATTTGTCCAGTTTAGATGCATCCATATCTCAGATCCATTGGATAACTGCTTTCTACATCTTTCATGCTGTAGTGACTGGATTATAATTATAAATTTGTAGGTAAGACTTCCTGTACTAAATATTCCCTGTGCTAAATTAAGTTTCAACCAGACCTATAGAAAATGTTAAGTGGGAAATAAGACCATTACCTAAATCCAAAACCCACTTTACCTCTATCTAGTTACTCAACAGAGGAGGTTTTTAACCTGAATTACCTGAATAATTGC